AACATCCTGGTCAGGTGGAGTTTTAGCCCCTATTTTATTAACCTGATGGAGTTTATATCAAACAACAAATATTTCTACCTCCATAAAAAGCAAACTAATCTTAACTATCCTCTCCACCACCTTCAATAATCCTAGCAGCCATCTTCTTATTTTATTTATTCATAATCTCAGATTAATGTTCATTTCCTCACAGTAACAGAACCAATCAGACTTCTGGCCCAAAACCAGAACCTTCTTTCTGTAAAACAAAGTTTTATATCATTTTCCTCTTTGCACCAATGTTTCCTGAAACTATCAGCCAAAAGCTTTGATGAAAAGATGATGAGGAAAAAAATAATGTTCTGAACTGATCCAGATCTGTGATTGTCCCACCAAACCCTGTGGATTTCATTTATTTTTATTAATTGATCAGTGTTTGTTTAAACTGATTCCAGATCAGATTCAACCTGTTCATTTTTGACCAAACTGGTTTCAGATTCTCTGAAAACCCCCAAGGAGAGGCTCCCAGTTACAAGCCCCGCCCCCACCTGGAGACCTGATGTCACTTCCTGTCTCCGTAGTCCTGCTATCTGCATAACTCACCTTATCCAACATGTTGCTGCCTGTAATAAAGCAGCTGCTGCTCAGCCTCTGTTGCTGCTCCTTCATTCAGGTTTAGTTTGATCTGATCAGCAGAAACAACCTGATCAATAATCCAGTCTGCTGGGCTCCAACTCTGGACTCATTAAGAAATAGAGACATTTTAATACTCATTTTAAAAGTTTAAATACAGTAAAACACATAAAAGCAGCTTTATCTGCTGGAGCAGTTGCTCTGCTCGACTGTCTGCATCTCTACCAGCAGGGGGCAGCACCGACCTCCCTGCTGCCAGGCCCTGAAACAACAGAGAGCATCCATGGCCGACCGACCCTCTGACTTCCTCTTCCTCCATTACAGGAGGAAACCTGTCTGAGCAAGAAAGTCCAAACAAAAACTGATCAAAACTTTCTATAAGATGCTTTTAAAACACATGAAGACTGAATTGAAACTCAAAAAGTGCATTCATTGGTATTTTCTGTTTCACATGTGCTGAACTGATTCCTGCTGTTTGGTGGCTGTTCACATGAAATGAAGACAGAAATAGTTTCTAACTGGTTCAAATAAATAACTCAGAATATCTCAGGTTTCTAATTATGTCACTGAAGCTGATTGAATGTTAACTGTAAAGTTACAGGACATATGTTTGACTCTACAGAGGTAAAAACATGTTCTGGTCACTTGTTTTTAATATAAACATTAATATTTGTTAGAGCGCCATCTGCTGCTGAAGAAGCAAATTGACAAGACCAGACCTCATCTTGACTTCCACTAAC